CCCCCCCCCCCCCCGCCAAAGAGGTAAAGCAGGAAACAGCATTAGCTCCCTATTCCAGGGAGCAAATAAGGAAGCTTGAATTTATACTTGGAATTCAAAGCTTGGTGAAGATTCTTTGCTATTTGTTGACAATGGGCTATTGAAAGAGGCCATAGGGTATCTTCCTTTGGAAACGAATCCCTAACTAAGAAAGGGAAGGGAACCGCCTCTACCTGCTCTTCAGTTTGCACTGTTTTATGATGGCTGGGTGTGCTGACATGGGAAGACCTTCAAAATCATACTCCTCTTCCCTTTCTGCCTCCCCAACCAGCGTGCATCAGAAAAAGAGCCCCAGGATCACCAGCTCTGTGACCTGGGGCATCCCTCCTATTCAGGTTGAGCTCTAGTCTCCTCACCTACAAAAATAGTGGCACCTGGCCAGCGTGGCTCAGTGGTTGAGCTGTGATCTATGAACCAGAATGTCACAGTTTGATTCCTGGTCAGGGCATATGCCCAGGTTTTGGGCTCAATCCCCAGTGTGGGGTGTGCAGGAGGCAGCCAATCAATGATTCTCTCTCATCATTTTTGTTTCTCTCTCTCTCCCTTCCTTTCTGAAATCAATAAAAATATATATTTTTTAAAATAATGGCAATATACTCTGCCCTATGAGTAACCACTGTGGAGCTCAGACGACAGAAAGCAGGTAGGATGCAGAGTGACTCACTCCCACAACTGTCTCTTCCCTTTTCTTGCTTCCTCACTGACCTGCCTCCTCTGCTGCCCTATTACCTAGAGCAGGTGAAAGGTCATGAAGATCTCACCCAAGGGATGGAAAAGGAAAACAATTGTGACATCATCCTATGAGTTCCTCACACTTGTATGAGGTCTCTATTTTTCCAAAGAGCCTTAACAATTAGTAGCATTATGTTTACCATTTCCTAGTCCCCTATGTGCCGCACACCACACAAGAGGGTTCCGCGTGCTCTCTTGGAGTTAGTCCTCACAACCACCCATTTTTACAGATGACAATACTTCGACTCAGAAGTTAAGGGATAGACAGCTAGTACTCCTGCACAAGCTCCCATGTAGATGGGCTACTTTTGTCAAGAGCTAGATTTTTTAATTCTATTCAGGCAGAGCCTGTGCCCAGGGCTTAGCACTAGGCCTGTGCCTAAACTGCACCCAATAATTATTTGTCGAATGAGTCTGTGAATATCTGACTCAAAAACCTATTATGCTTTAACACTTCTCTATATTAAGTCTCATTATGTCATTTCATCTCAAAACAAATCTCTAAGGCATGATCATCCCACTTGACAGATAAGGAAAGAGTGGCTGGAAAGAGTAAGTAGCCTAAGATTTTACAGCCTTTGTGCAGCAAGGCTGGAGGCGGGCTACCTTCAGATCCTTTGCCCCCCGCCACAGCTGTCCTGGGGGCCCTGGGGGAATTAATAATTATAGACCGCCGGGGCTGGACCCATCTCCGCACTCACCAGCTCACAGCTCAGGAGGTCACCCCGGAGCCCTGAGCTGCTTCCCCGGGAGAGGGGGCAGGTGGGCCGGGCGTCCCTCAGGAGGGAAACAAGGGGAGGAGGGGGAGGCCAGTCCTGGGCGCAGTGCCAGGCAGCAGCGGGCACGAGGTGACCCCGATCCCACAGAGAGCTCGTCCAGGCCCAAACACCCCCGCGGACCCCCGCTCCGGACTAACTCTGTCCAGCTTGGGGGTTAGAGGAGGGAGGGGAGGCTACAGGCTTCCAGGAAAATCGCAGTCCAGCGATGAATCACCGGCACATGATCCCGTGATCCCGGTAGGGAGGGGAGGTGGGAATGGGCGCGGGATGTGGCCGCGGCTTGCGGAGCGCAGGCCTCGCGCGGCCCCCCTCCAGCCTGAACTCGGGAGAGAAGGGAAGTCCCTCTCCCGCGCGGCTCCACCCTCCGCGGCCGCGGCCCCGGCCCGCCGGGCTCCCGGGGGCGGCGGGAACTCACGGCCTTCAGCTGCTCCAGCCGGTCCTTCAATCCTGGTGCCCCGGCGCCCCAGGCAGGTGAGCGCGTCCGCAGTGAGCGCGTCCCAGGAGAGCGGCCGGAAGTGGCGACCGGGCCCGGCCGAGCCGGAAGTGGGAGGCGAAGGTGGGCGGCGGCGTCGGGCCGGCTAAGAAGGAGCGTCCGAGGCTACGAGAGGCTCGGCCGCGTCGCCCTCTACGGCCCCGCCCGGCGCCGCGCTCCAAATCCGGCTCCCGGGCCAGCGCCGGCTCGCAGTGCTGATCCGCCCGCGGCCCCGCCCCTCACCTGGGCCGCGCCCCGCGCTCCTCCTTAAAGGGGCCGTGCCCCGCCGCCGCCCCGCGGTCCTCGGCTACTCGAACTCCTCCTGCTCCGGCTCCCGGTCCCGCTAGGGAGCGGAGAAGTCTAGGAGGAGGACCGTGTACCGGTAGGTCCCCCGGCTGGGCGGAGAAGAGCGAGTAGGTCTATTTGACCTCAATTCCATTCGCTTCCATTCAACGGCCATTCGCTACCTGTGCCACGTTTTGTATTAGGATCCGGCCCTCAAAAGACTCATTCATTGCGGGGCGGGGACAAAGTACCATAGACAAAGAACTCTAACCCAGTGTGATTTCTGCTATAATGGGTGGGAGAGGGGCATTCTAATATCGTAATTTGAACAGCTGATAGAAGGTGGTCCTAGAGCAGTGGTTCTCAACCTTCTTGCCCTTTAAATACAGTTCCTCATGTTGTGACCCAACCATAAAATTATTTTCGTTGCTACTTCATAACTGTAATGTTGCTACTGTTATGAATCGTAATGTAAATATCTGTTATGCAGGATGGTCTTAGGCGACCCCTGTGAAAGGGTCGTTCGACCGCCAAAGGGGTCGCGACCCACAGGTTGAGAACCGCTGTCCTAGAGGAAATAACTGGAAGTGAGACGCGAAAGGGCAGGCTGGAAGGAAGAATTCGGACTTCATGATGTTGGCAGTCGGGACCCTTCACAGACATGTTAAGCAGTTCAATGTTGAAGTCAGAACACCTGCCACTGACAATTTGTACAACTGGGAAATCACCATTTCTCCCCGGGGGGGGGGGGGGGGGGAGGGGCGGCTGTTTCCATATCTATAAATCAGGGATAATACCCACTGTGACAGAGGAGGAATGATTGATTGGTAAAGTATAGAGCAAGGTTGTAGGTAAAAAATATTTTTTATTGGGAAGCTTAAGTCGTTCTCGCTTCCTACGTGGTGCAGATTCCCAGGTGAGTTATACCTTCTGAAAAGGGGTGCGGTCTTCACACTATCCCCCTTCTTTGATCTCTCTCCTCCCCTCCCCCTTCTCTCTTCCCTATTTGTCCTCCTTCTTGGGAATAACATACCCAGCAAGACTGGCTCTTCATAAATGGGACTGACAGTCTGACAGTCGAAGATTCATTTCTCAAGTCAAGAAGAGAATCTGCTCTATGCATTCAGGTTAAAGGGCTGTAATATTTTTCGTAATTCTAACAGACTTCTTCTGCTATCTCAGCGTGTGCTCCATGCTGATTTCATCGCCTCCCATAAAGATACTTACAGTCCGTGAGTGGCCATGCTGTTTGAACCCTCTTTGGTCCTGAATGCTTCCTTCTACCCAGGTGTTAGCTAGGTGGAGTTTCCCATCTGTGGTACAAAAGGCGTCTGCGCCCCCTGGGGGCCATGCACAGAAAAACAGCGTAATTCAGAGATACAGGGTGTCCCCCAAAAATGTACTCACCCTTTAATAGCTGATAGATCAATTTTTGAAAATGAAATGTAAACACTGCCGTTATAATTAGTCAAAGTGAGTGTATACATTTTTGGGACACCCTATATATCCCACCTCCTCTTAATCTTTGTTGGGATAGCTAGGTCCCCACACCTCAGGAAAAGAGGGTCTCCTGACTCTAAACACAGAGTTTTGCCACAAAACAGCTGTCACTTGACATCACACAATCTATTTTCTCATCTTTCAAGTAAGAGAGATGATCAAAACTAATGATTCCTATTCTTCAAGGTAAAAAATATAATGTATTCTTTATTTTCATTTGTAATTTTGAAAGATGCTATATCCCTAAAAAAATATTCTTACTATGTAATAACAAATTTTATTTCCTCAAACTCAGATACAGAACACAGACTTGTGGTTGGGGAAAAGGAGCAAAATGGGTAAAAGTGATCAAGGGGTACAAACTTTCAATTATTAGATAAGTTAGTTCTGGGGATGTATAGCATGGTGACTATAGTTATCAATACTACATTGTATATTTGAAAGATGCTAAGAGAACAAGTTTCCATCATAAGAAAAAATATTGTAACTATGTGAGATGATAGCTGTTAACTGAATTTGTGGTAACCATTTTGCAATATATGTATATTTCAAACCATTGTTACATGCTTTAAACTATTATGTCAATTATTGCTCCATAAAATTGAGGGGGTGGTATTTGGTTTCCTATGAGAGGATGTTTCCATGAAGAAGAAAAAAAAGACCTTTTGCTTAGCCTGTGTGGCCATACAGAGATAACTATATGATTTTCCTTACTTCTTAAAACACTGGAAACTGTGTTCAAAGAGTCCTCTTAAGAACAAGTGGAGTGCCCTGACCAGTTTGGCTCAGTGGCTAGAGCGTTGGCCTGCGGACTGAAGAGTCCCAGGTTGGATTCCGGTCAAGGGCATGTACCTTGATTGCGGGCACATCCCCAGTAGGGGGTGTGCAGGAGGCAGCTGATGGATGTTTCCCTCTCATGAATGTTTCTAACTCTCTATCCCTCTCTCTTCCTCTTTATCCCTCTCCCTTCCTCTCAATAAAATATATTTTAAAAAAAAGAACAAGTGGAGTCCAGGAACTCAGGAAAGGAAACATCAGCAATTCTTTTATGATCACACTAGGGACCCAGTGCACGAATTCATGCACCTTAAAAGGAACTGTAGGCTGCGAGGCTGCGGTGGGCACAGGACGGGTCTCAGCCCATCCTCCACGCCCCCGCCTGGCCCCTCCCACTGTGGCCCCCCATCCCCTGTCTGCCAGCAGCCCCACTCCCACTGCCGCCGCTCCCATGCACTGACGGCACTGGCCCCACTTGTACCCCCTGATGGCACAGAGCGATTGGGGCCAGCACCAGCAGCAGGTGCAAGTGGTGGCTGCTGCCCTGATCACCTCTCAGGAGCAAGGGGAGGTGGAGAAGCCCTGAGGGGCGATCGGGGCCGGTACCAGGAGCTGGCAGCAGGTGTGAGTACCAAGTGGGACCGCGGTGTACAAGAGCAAATAATTTTCAGTAACCGCCAGAAGCTCGCCTTGATGACAGCAACCAGTGCCCCACCTTGGTCTGGCGTCCCCGCTCACCTGCTCCACCATCCCACTACAGCCAACACCTGCCATGTTCCGTGCGCACCCCCTGGTGGTCAGCGCACATCATAGCGACTGGTTGTTTGGTTGTTCCCCTGTTTGGCCTATTTGCATATTAGGAATACACACACACACACACACACACACACACATTCCATTTGAAGGTAGTTACATATTTCAAGCCTTCTTTAAACCTCCTAGTAGGTATGAACTCTACTTAGTCAATTTTATCTTAACATTAAGACAGGAAGAAGTCTGGATTCCACCTGCTAGTTGTGCACAAAAACCTGAAGAAAGTAAAGTAACTGCAAGGCATGGGACCTGAGCTAGTGGAGTCCCTGGACTGGTATGGAAAACCCTGATATTAAGACCAAGTGAATTCTCGGGTCTCCACGAAGGTGAACAGTGACTTAAGGATCCAGGCTCAGTGTTCTCGCTGATGTATTTTCATATTTATGCCCCACAGTGGTACTTGATTTTATACCCACTGGGTCTTAGTGTAGCTGTTTTCCCATAAAACAGTCAGGATTCATTCAAGTGTTTGCATTTTGGTTATAAATATATCAGCCAACACTTAATTTCACCTTTATAAACAAACCAAAGACAACTCCTGGACAAGCCCCCAAATGTACTGGGCTGCATATCTGGCACTTCGGCCAGACGGGGCGCGCTGTGCTGTCTGTTCCTAAAACACATAGATAGGAAGGTACTGACATCAGGCCAGGCCTTGAGATATGGTCTCATGGCCCCTTCCCAGCATGCAGGCCTTCTTTCTCAGAAGGCCCGGAAGTCTCATTCCAAATTTGGGAGACAAAGGACTAGAAAAAGTATAAATAAAGAGAGTTTCCTCCATATTGGGGGCCCAGAATGTGAAAGACACATTTTTCTCTGGGCCACCACAAAATTTAATAATAAAATGTAACTCCTGTAGTCGCTACTGCAGTTCAGCCTTTGCTTCAGCAGGGTGCTGTAGCTGTAGTCAGCTGGCCAGCTTAATAAAGGCTCTTAAATTTAAATTCTGAGTCGATGGTCTATCTCACTGAGTGAACCCATAACACTGGGACTTGGGATTTCACTTCCTTCTCTCTCCACCCTGTAAGCCTATTTCTTTCCCAGTGGAGAAAAGAACTGAACCTCACCCCATCTAGACCGCCAGAGCTTGCTGTGAAACAGGTGAGACCACTTCTGGTTGGGGTACCTTGAGGCAGTATCTCCAGAGTGTGGTGTTTAGTACTGACATATCTCAGAGGGGAAGAGGGAGGAAGATAGGAAGAGATTAACCAAAGAACCTACATACATACTAGAGGCCCAGCACGCACAAAATTGTGCGAGTAGCTCACTTCCGCTTCTGCTTGCCTCAGCTGGCCTCCCCACCCACTGCGAGAGCACTGCTCCTTTGGTCATGACCGCATTACAGCATCATGGCCACAGGCCTTTTATTAGTAGAGATATGCATAACCAGTGAACACAGATAATAGTGTGGTGAAGGCCTGTGCTGGGGCAGGGGCTGGGAGGAGGAGGGTAAAAGGAGGGAAATTAGAGGACATCTGTAATACTGTCAACAACAAAAAAAGATAAGGAAAGCTAGAGAATTAAAGGGAAGAGTCTTTCTGTCCTCCACAGCTATTGCTCCCCATGGCAGGAAGGATAGAGAATAACCAGGATGGAGAATAAAATCTCTGACTTGTAGTTTTGCCCCCTTACAGTTTGTATGTTCTCTATGGCTGCATAACAAGTTGTCCTAAAACTTCTGTGATTCAGGAATCCAGGTGCAGCTCAACTGAGTGCCTCTGTGTCAAGATCTCTCACAA